CCCAGAAAGTATTTCATTTCCAGGTACCCCTTTTTTCTTTCTTTTTTTTTTTTTTCAAGAAAGAAGCAGTGTAACATTACTCTGCAGCACTTCAGTTTTTAGGTGTAGTCAAAACCCCCTAGATTTCTGTTCAAAGCCTGATCATCACCTTTTTATTTCTTATTTTTCCTCCTTAAACTTCAAGAAAGCTAAACTTATTGGCTGAAACTCCACCAATTCCCAGCGAGTATGAGGTTAAAAGGCTGATGCAAAGTCAGTGCTTCTGTAAGTGTCAAAGGAGTTCACTTCTTCCAGTTCCCTGCTACGCTTTATTGAGCTCATCCCTTATGTGTAAGCTCATTTTGGCATAGAGTATCTTCACTGCCCTGCAAAACCATAGGTACATCTGTATCAGGCACAGCTAAGCTCTCTAAACATCATACTCTGAAGGTTGGAAAGTCAGACACAAAGGACTGAAGGCCATCCTAAGGGATGGTCAGAAGTCCACCTCCCAGCACCAAGGCAACATGAAAGATAGCCAGACCAATAGATGCTGCCTGCCCTACTCCTTAAAGGTTGCTGAAGAGATTCCTCCGTGTCTCAAGGTTATCCAACCCAAATTTTTAGCATCATATGCAGTGTTTCACACTTTCCGAGATACTTGGAAGAATTGAAGACCTGAATCCCCACTTCAGGGGGATTCAACAGTTTGGCTGCCAGAATTCTTCATGACCCAATGCTTGTGTCACGGGAGTGACTGCCTCAAAGCACTAATTCAGTCCCCACTCCAGCAGCCCAGCCCAGCCAGCTCCAACCACCCTTCCTAAAGAAAAGCCTCCTGCAGAGGCTCAGCTCCCATCACTTCATCCTACTGAAAAAACATATAGTGAGCCAAAAGAATCCCACTGCAAGGTCCAGCCTCACTTGCCTGGGCAGTAGACTAGTGATGGCAAGGCTTGTTTGCCGTGTAGGTGCAGCATGAAGCAAGCTCTAATTTTAAACAGTTTCATGCCAAAAAACAAGCTCAGCGGTTACATTTCTTTATCCATACAGATACGGTGCCGATACAGCCTTGGTACATGAAACTTTTTCTGGGGGCAACACAATTGTGACAAAACAGGGGTCGTATGACAATTTGGAGTTCAGAAATGAAAGTAATCAAGAAAGACTTGGGGAGCTCTTGTCAGTGCAATCATTCCCCACCACGGAGAAAATGCAATCACCTCCATTTCAGCAACAGAGTCAGCTGACAGTGGCCGTTTTCTTAATCTATTATTTCTCATAACGTAGTAACACTTTAAGCTACTACAAACACATCTTTAGAATGCACCACAATTTTAATCAGTTTCAAACATCAGATGTTGGATTTGATATTTATGATTGTTCTGTTTCATTTAAGGGCTCCTTTTGTCTATGAAAGCAAAGATAAAGTTATTTGAGACACCCACTGTAAAGTCTCTAATTTAAGAGGAAATTTCTTCTATCGCTTACTGTCAGATGCTAATAGCTGATGTTATTATTTTCTGCATGATACCAGGCAAGTGGTCTTCGAGAAGTATCCTTCATCCTATACAAAGCCATCATCGAGCTCACTAATCAAGTAACTGTGCCCTGCAGTTTCTAAAGGGGACATTCTAAGTCCATTATAAGCTTCGGAAAAACAAAAAAAAAACCCACAACCTCTAATAACTGTAGTAAGAATCCAGTGTGGTATTATGAGGAGGTGACTGGGAATTATTTCTTTTTAAAGCCTCTTTTATAAGGATTCCCCATCAGCCTTTAATTAGCATGCCAGTTCCTATTCAGAGGTTCCTGATCACTTACAGCCCAGTTCAGCATTCACTGAAGGCAACAACACAGACTCCCTTGAATCCCGTGGGGTCTATACGAGAGCTTAGGGCCACGCAGGGAACTCTCTAGTACCAACACAAAGTTAATTGAGCCTTTGATGCCCAGCTCTGGGTGTTAGCCTTTGGAAGAGTTTACCTACGGAAGATCACAAGAAAAGCTGGACTTCCAGATTTGGAGCTATGTAAATGTATCATCTGTACTCAGCAGGCATAGCACTAATTTGTCTTTTACTGTAGAGGACACTGAGATGATCTATCAACTTACTCTGTTTAACTATTTACAATATTTTAAATCTCTGCTTACATAAAACTACAATTATTATTTTAGAATAGAGCATCTGCCAACACACATACAGTATTCTGCTAAAGGCAGATACATACCACAAGGTATATGTAAGATCATTAGCTAGCTATGACAGGCGATTTACTGTGATTTATCTTTCAGGATCATCTCATTCACAAGGAAAATTGAGTGTCAGCCCCATCCATAACCTATACATACCGTCTAGCTACTTGAAAATGATAATAGGTTAAAGGATGCAGCAGACAACTCTCCAAAACCAGCCAAAATATTTAACCTTAAACCTTTTGGAATAGAACCTGAAAACATTGGTAGCAAAGCCAGAACTCCTACTAACTTGGATTGCCAAGGGCTAATGAACATAGAAAACTCTTTACCTAGCACATAATTTTACTGTTGCTGGGAGAGTGCTGCTCAGTCATTTCAGTACAGATCCAAGAAATTTGCTTCTTACGGTTTTGCCTCTGTTTGAGCCAGATACAAATTAATGCTAAATTAAGAGCTGCAGTTCAAAACGATTCAAAGAAATGCAAGAACAAAGGTCAAAACTTAGATCTCTGCCCTGCAGGTGCATGTCCTGAGCACACAGCTAAATAGAGCCATCCACCTTCTGGTGGCAACAAAGCCAGGAGTGAAATATTTGCAGTCTAATCCATGTACTTACTTACATACCACCTCCTCCATCAGCAGACCCTACTCAGCCAGAATGCTAGGCCCTGGGCTTCACTATAACGGCAGAGTGGATCTGTCCTCCAGTGATTCCACTAGAAACAAAACCATATTGAAGTACAACGCAGCCACTTCTGCCACTTACAATGAGGGATGATGAAACAATCCATCAGGAGCTACCACATTATACAAAATATCTCAAACAGCTATTCCTCCTTACTCTCCCATCTCCACCTCTCCTTTAAAAAATACATACTACAAATAAAAAAAAAACAAGGAAGAAAAAGAAGAAAACAAAAAAGAGAGGTCGCAGGCCCCTGGGTTATGGAACCTTTAAAAGAATTTCCTGTACCTTATAAAACAGGTGGAAAGCTCTAAAGCGCAGCCCAGTGATGTAGCCTACCTATGCCAGACCCAAGATTTGGCCAAAAAACCTTAAATGAATCAGTGTAACAGCTGCCACAAAAGCCAACAACCTCTAATCAATACCTTCCATATTTAAGACAGAACAAACTTCCTCTCTGCAAAACAGAGTATACAAATTGCAACAAATTTAAGTTTTGCTTGGCTTAGGAAACCCAGGCAGAGCCCCTAATTTTTCAACAGCAGTACATGGTTAACAGAAGTGATGAGAGCAGCCAAGACACCTGTGAGAGACCAAAAAACACACCTACAAAAATGAGCTATTCAGCAAGGCTGCAGATATGTGTGCTGCAAGAACTAACAAAGCTTAAAAAACATTGAAAATGTTAACACAATGAACATGAAAATACTGAATGTGTTAAAGTATTTTTGCATTACTTCATCCTAGATCTTTTTTATCCCCTAATTTGACTCTGTTTTTTAGTCTAGATTATAAAGAAGATTTAGAACAGGGAGATTTCTTTTGCCTTCCCATTAATAAAAAGGAAACAAAGAAAATGAAGAAAGTGAGTAGTAAAACTTTTACAACATAATAAAATATATCAGAATCCCAGTGCAGCAGGATTGGAATTGTCTAAAGATGCTGAATTATGATCAGTTGTCATATAAAGTTCAGTCCAGAGTACTAGCAACTATATTCTCTAGTAACATGTATATAATTGGAAGATCTTCATAATAACCCTCAGTTTTAAAGACTCATAAAAACTGCGTTTTACCCTTAATTTGCCGGAGGAAAGAATTCTTAAAGGAAAGTAACATCTTTTTCTCAGTAAGAATGACTCTGAGGCAGTACACTATGTATTTGAAAGCAAGCAATCCTGAAAGCTCACTTTTTCTTTCACAGTTTAAAAAGATAAATACGCATCTACAGTACCTACACTAGGAAGAAAATAAGTATCGAATAGAGAGGAACCCTCTGAAAGTATATTGGAAGCAAAGAATGTTACATATTTTTTTAACAGAAGTCCAGGGGTCCTTTAAAGTAAGTATCTTGATATAACATTGTAACCAACAGTAAAACAAACTATGGCACTTACAGCAGAGAAAAGGAAGGATGTTCGTTTTACGAAATGCGTGTAAACTACATTTATCTATTTCCAAAATATAGCACAAAAATAATTATAAAAATATTATCAGCACTTGACACTCTCAGTAGACTTCCAAATCTCTACATTTTCTCAATTTCTCCCCTGACATTCTAAAACAAAATCCTTTCAGTTTGTTAGAAACTCAGCTACCAAGTGCCATAAACTTCCAATTATCCCAACCACTTTTGGACTTGTCAAGGCAAAGCTGAGGTAACGAATAGGATGCTGAAGTTTCTATATGGAACAGTAAAATACAACCTGCCATCAAACCCAGATAGTTTAACTTAGTATTTTTGCCAGAATAAAGCCTTTTTGTAAATAAAACATGTTTGTTTTCAAATAAAGCTACTTCAAGCTATTCTGAGAAGCACAGTAAATACAACTTCCATTTGGATTTCAAAATCTGATGAAACAAAATCAGCACGTCAAGCCTAGTATTTTCCTACCTGGAACAGGTAAGGACCAGCTCTCAAATGCCACCTTGGGATAGTTCAGACTAGTAATCCCGTTCATGTTTAGATGAGACACCAGCATGAACAAGAAAAAAAAAAAGATCTACCCTGTCCTTCTCTTCTTTTATTAGCAACGCCTACGGCAGTGGTGAAAACCTGGTAAGCAAGCCGAGGACCCGGAGGACCAGACTAACCCAAAAACACTGCTAAAGAGAAACAGGCTTAAGAAAAGACTTACTGCTTGCCATGTGACAGGGAGAGATATGCTGCCCATTGGGTGTGCTGGAGGTGAGGTCAATGGCCATGCCGGAGTGCTCCCTTTCGGGTGAAAACTCATTGTCACCTGTTTTCACAAAACAAGTTCCCCGTTAAGTTTCCATTCCATGATTAAAAACTACAGCCCGCCTGCTCCCTTCAGCCCTTTCCTCTTCCACTGGTAGGGTCTTCCAGAGCCTGTGTAAAAACTGAGCTCTCAGCTGCCACAAGTTAAGGTTTGATGAACTAATTTAAGAGTTCCCTTAAACCTACTGTCACTAATCTTTCACACATACACCTGTGACAAGCCTTGCCCCAACTGCTTTGTCTCAAGAGAAATTAAAGCTTACTTTTCCATTTGCAGACACCAAGAATCCAGGCTGAGCAGGAGAAGACTGAAACAGTACTTCACCATACAGACCTCCCCCCCAAAGCTCCAGGTTAACTGACAGTTAAACAAAGCACTTAAATAAACCCTGACACAGAAAACAGGAGAAATGCACAGTGAAAGGCATAAAAAGTTTCTTGCTGCAATCTGAATTTCTGAAGATGAACTCTCATTTGCAAAGTTCATTCATTCTCAGCAAATACTTATACCTAGAGGTACTCACCCATGCACCCATCCCCATGCAATTTTCAGTCATACACAAAACTTGTGTTTAAATGCTCTTAATTCAGTGTCATCTCAATATAAAAATCATACAGACGGAAGCTAAAGTTTCAAGTGCCTGCATTATAGAAAGGATAGTGGGAGAAGAAAAGTAATTCAGAATAATCAAATGAAATGACTACTTACATGTTATATATCCATCAGCAGCCTCTGCTTCCATAGTCAAAGTGCAGTGCTGCAAGGCAGAAAAGTACACCCTCAAAGACGCCTGTCAGTATCAACCATTAAATGATTAAACTTACTTAAAAGCCCTAAGTAGTTGCCCATTTTATTGCTGTTGCAACCATTGCCTAGAGAAACACACAAGTGTACTGTATGTGCTCATTTGCAAATCACTGAACTCTCCCTGAAAATTATGTGAGTAGAGAAATTCAGCTGCCTCCTAGGCAGGCTGCACTGGGATCACTTTGGTCTGACCATACTCCCCTTTCTCCCCTACTCGTATCTTCACCTGATCCAAGAGGTTTTTCCCTGACTTCCCACTTGTCTTTTCAAGCTGGGATGGTAATGCTTTATCAATTATCAGTGCTCACAGCCAGAACAGGCTTTGAAGAGATGAATACTACTAACAATTGCTCTTTTCACATACACTCCAAGAGACTCCATCCTGAGCTAAACAAAAACAGCCCTCCCATGTCTGTTACAACTCTTTGTCTCGCACCACTGTACATGCACACACACCTGTACAGGCACCTGTTCACTCTAGCCCTATTTATCTGCCACAGCAAGGGGCCAAACATCACACTAAATACTCCCAGATGGTGCATTTTGCGGTGTGAAGCAATCTTAAAGTTTCTGGAAGCACTTTGCTGACACAGAACAAGCTATTACTTTCCAGAAACCCAAGTAACTGTATAGAATGACACCCCCTAGCTATCATTTGATATATATTGGGGGGGGGGGGGGAATAAAAAAAATAAAAAAGGAGACCAATAATCATAACTATTTTCTTTTAAGTGGAAAAGTTAAGAATCTGACATGACCAGAGGAGAATTTTATTTCCTCTCTCCCTCCATGGCCTCTTTTTTGCCTTTAGTTTCAAAACTCTCACTGCACCAGGCAGCTAAATTATTCACAATGAGCCATTTCTGTATTGATCGCCAAGTATATTTAGCCCTGGCTCCTGGAATTTCTCCATTACTTACTGGAAAACAGGCAGCTTCACTTCTTGTCTCCAAAACCACTTCCCTCCCCCTCCCTTAACCCGCTTTCCTTCCCCCCCCCCCCCCTTTTCCCCCAATAAATAAATACTTTTCTCTGTGTTCCTTTGGCATAAAACAGATCAAATTCCCAAGGCATTCAGCACATAACACTTAAATTTCAACCTGCCCAGCTGCTAGCAAACTCTCTTCAATTACTGATTTTCACATGACTCTTAAAAAAGAAATCTCCAAACAAAAAGTTTTCAAAACAGGTAAGCTGCTTCCTCAAGCCCTTCAAAATTACCTTATCTTCCCCCTAGTCCAGGTAGGCAGGCATACACTGAGAAAAAGAAAGAAACATCAGAAGCAACAGGGAAAGATCATCCAGCCAATGAAGAGGAAGAAAGGGGAAGAAGGGAGGAGGAAGAGCAAGGAAGACAAAAAGAAACACAGAAACATCCATAACCGAAATTAAAACATGGTTTGATTTTTATTTTTTATTTCTTCAAGGAAGGGAGGAGAAGGGGGAAAAGAAAAACTTTGGTCACCATTTTTAGGCTGGTGATGGCAAATCCCAGCTGCCAAGCCTCCCTCTCCACAACGAATGGAGAGAGTAGAGTTTTGCTCCGGCTGAAGACAGCGCAAAATGGGGAAAGTTTTAAAAATATTATTTTTAAAAGATGGAGAAAAAAAAAAGGGGGGGGGGGGAGAGGGGAAAGAAACCCGCCCCTGGCACTTACAGGTGGGGCATGTGGAACCGGGCAGCCCCGGGGATGAGCCGGCGGGGAAACTCGCTCAGGAATGGCACATACTTTGAAGGAAGATGAAGAACACTCACACACACCAAAAAAAAAAAAAAAAGAAAAAAAAAAGAGAGAGAGAGAGAAGGAGAGGGAGGGAGGGAGGGAGGTCAGCCGGTGCTACAGCAATGCGATTAACCAGTGGGGAGAGAGAGAGAAAAACTTGATCCACCGGTTCCTTACGAATCGGCACGAAAACGGGGGGAGAGTAGGGGATGCGGGATGGGGTGAGGGGAGGGGGCCGGCAGGCGCACTCACACCCCGCGCAGAACGCCTAGGCCAACTTCCCCGGAGTGCTGCTCCGGCCCTGGGCGACACCGGGCTCCGCGCCTCATCCCTGCTCTGCCTGCCCATACCACAACCTGTCAAAGTCATGGAAGTCCTGCCTCATTTTTCGTTTTATTTTATTTTCTGCCCTTCCCTTCCACACATCCCCCTACACACACACCCCTGCGTCTCTCCTCCCTCCCGCCGCCGCGTCAGGCCGCAGCCCCCCGGGGCCGCAGGTGGCGGCGAGCGCTGAGGGAAATGGCAGTTGGGGCCGGCGCTGACTAACGGACCGGGCGAGCCCCGTCGAACCCCCGGTACACGAACTGCTCCCGCCGCCCCTCTCCCACGCCGTTTTTGCCCTTCTCTTTCCCCATTATCATGATTATTATTATTTTTAATGATCTAACAGCAACAAGTCACTGGAGCCCACCGCCGTGCGGGAGATGCTGCACACCCGCACTTTACTCGAGGACCCCTCCACACGGGCAGACACACACACATACACAGAAGCAGGCACACACACACACACACACACACACACACACAAGCCCGCCGTCCCCGCCGCCGCCTCGCACACCGGACGGAGCTGTCCTCCCCACCTGGGAAAGAAAGACCGGGGTGAGGGAGGGGAGAAAGAAGGAAGGGAAAAGGGGGAGGGGGGGGGGGGGGGGAACGGACACAAAAAAGAAAGAAAGAAAAAGAAGCCAGGCGCAGATTTACCTCAGCCGCGCAGGCAGTGAATCACTTCCATCCCCCTTTTGTTTGTGTTTTTATTAGTGTCGGCTCCCTCTGCCTAGTGGAGGTGTGTTTGTGCACGGCAGTTGGCTATGGAAACTAAGGCAGTGGAGCTGTAGCTAAGGGTAATCCTGTTTTTACTTCCTCCATCTTCAGAGAGCAGGGTTAGCCTGGGACAGCTGGTCAAACCCCGAGAAACCGATCCGCCGGCGCCCGCACGCCCGCACTCACTCACTCCCCACACGCACTCACTCACACACGGGGACACACGGACACGGCAACACACGGACACGCTCGTGGACGCGCGCTCCCGCAGCCCCGCGGGTGCGCGCCGCCCCAGCCGCCCCGCGGCGCCTCACCCAAGGGCCAGCGAGGCAAGGCGAAGGGAGGGAGACGAGAAGGGAAGGGGCGGGAGGGGGGAGGAAAGAAGCGAGGGATGGGGGGGGGGGGGGGCGCGGGGGGCGGGTGCCCGCGCCGGCAGGGCCGCTCAGCACGCTCGGCAATCGATTAGAGGACAAGTGCCGCCGCCGCCGCCGCCGTGTGCGCTCCGCGCCTCACGCGGACGGACACACGCGCGCACCGCCCCCTCAGGGCACCGCTGCCGCCATCCTCCGGGCACCGGGGCTACCCCCTGGACCCTGCCATGCCCGCTCCTGCTCCTCCTCCTCCCTTCCCTCAGCAGCGGCAGCCGCTGCCGCCGGGCTGGTGAAGTTGCCGGCGGAGTCATGATTCAGCACTTCTATTTTTAACCCCTCAGCGCGGCCCGGCGCTCTCACGCCGGCGTTGGCTTGGCGCCAATTACCCCTACGGTGGGGAGCCTCCCCGGGGCGGGGGGGAAGCTTTGAGAGCTGCCGTTATCTAATGAACATTCAAAGTAAATATGAGGTAATTTCTATTCTGTAAGTCTTACGCTTACAGAGAAAGCCCGGTTAAAATAAAAGCCTTTCCATGTATTTCCCCCTCCTGATAATTCAGTGCGGTGTGGAAAGGGGGAAAACCAGCATGTTCTCTTGAGGAAAACCCTGCTTTAACTCACGGCTGAGGCTGAAGTAACACCCCCCAGTGCGTCTTTGGTGCTGATGATGAATACAGAACAGGCCTTAGATCAAGTGCAACAGCATCATCCTTTCTGCTCATCCAGTTCCAACCCCTGCCACGGGCAGGGACACCTTACACTAGACCAGGTTGCTCCAAGCCCCTGTGTCCGACCTGGCCTTGGGATGGGCCAGGGATGGGGCAGCTGCAGCTTCTCTGGGCACCCTGTGCCAGTGCCTCAGCACCCTCACAGGGAAGAACATCCTGTAGATGTGTTTGTCATGCATTATATACACAGGTGTTATTAACTTAAAATTCATAAACTTAAGCGCACAAACACTAGGAAGCATCTGAATTCAGGCTGTCCATAACACCCTTGAGCCTTTTCACACAGCAGAGCAGCCAACAGGAATAACAGGGAATTATCCCTTATTTTCACTGCCACAAAGTGAGTTTCAGGCACGTACTGACACACGTACCTTCATCACTTCATGCCTACATTCTTTGCGTATCCAGAGTCTGCAAAGTCCCTGTAATTTTTGCTCTCAAGCAAAATCTTAACTGCAGCCTTAACTCTCGCTTCAGCTATACGTGAGCACAATACTGTTGTTAGAGGAGTAAAGTAAAACCCAGGGTTTATTAGCTCAAACTCTTCAAATGACATTCTCCTTTGTAGTGGCAGAGCAGCCCTATCCTGAGAGAGGGAGACAAACTCTTTCAAAAATATATTAAATTACTCAGAAAGCCAAAAACACTCAAGTTAATAGACAGCTCTCTCCCCAGCACTACAAATTTTAGCCAATTAGTCATTACACCACATCTGTGAAGTGGGTTAATTTAACTCTTCTCATTTTGCATAGAAAGAAGGCAGAAAGGTTAGGGGACTGGCCCAAGGCAACAAAGAGCACTCAAAGCTGAGCCTAGAAAGCACACTTCTTGTTTCCCACACCTACGTCTCAACAACTAGACTTGGCTTGCCTACATCAGAAAATAGACTGGCATAACTATAGCTGTGTAATTATACCATAACAATTTACGCCGGAATAACTCTCCTTACGGACATTCTCCTCCAGATGGAAAGTGACTTCCCAAAAGCTGTCCAAGTTCACTCAACAGCACACACTTCAGGTTTTGCCTTCCGCCTCCTCCCCCCCCCCCCCATTCTTCATATTGGGTGGTCAAAATTCCTAAGATGTGGGTCTCAGCAGCATTTTGAAGCCTTTGATCACTTTCACAGACCACTGAAAAGCAGGAGAAAATGCAAAAGATGTCATTGAAATGCTACAAGCCTTGTTGTCAAGATTTTTATGGTGCTTTTCATCAAAATGTTGAAAACTGAAAGCTTCCAGCTGGCTCTCCTTACAGGTAATAATTTAATAGCTAACAGCTTTCCTCACAAAGCTGCTGGAACCTGTTTGAGCCATGGAAGCTGATGGGAAACCCCAGACCCATGCTCTTCAGTAAATGCTTCTGATTTTTTTAATTCTGCTGCTCCATAAGCTTTCAAAACCCAAATGATGCTGTGAAAACAAGGAGTGACTAAAGGAAAAGTAAGGGACAGGGAATAAAGTGAAAGGGGTTGCCTTTAGAAATCAGCTTGTCAACTCCAAGGGCTGCAGAGATGAGTGCATCTTCACTACAGCAGCACAAGGGTGAATCCATTGAAACCAATACAAAACTCAGCTTTGGGGCTGCAGCAAGAGCTCCACAGTGGTTTATGTCAACCACACACCTGCCCCTAGATGATTCTCAGCAAAGCAACTGTGATGATCTTGAGGACCAAGTGTTGGCTTGGGATCAAGAGACCATCAGGGTCCTCCATGTAATTTCAGCCAAGTCATTATTTCTCTGCATTTCAATTCTCCATTTCTAAAATGTGGTAAATAATGCAATGAGACTTTTTCTTCTGCTGAGCAATGCTTCAAGAACAACTATCAGCTTTGCCATGGACTTCTGCCACATTAGAAGTCACTTCAGCATAGTTCCAAAAGAGAAGCTTTTGGAGCTGCTGTGAGCCTGGTGGGCAGCCCCTTTTCCTCCTATTTTCATCAACAAGACATAAGAAACATTTGCACAGCTCTGCCTACTCTGGGACACAAGGCCAGCTACCTTGGAAATTACAAGTGATGCCAACAGTCACCTACTCAAGACCCGTATGTCCCTCCAGGTATTTGCTTAGTCCCCTTGCACCTCAGTTCTACCCTTGCGTGCTGGAGATAATAGAGCTGTCCTGTCTCACAAGGACCCTGGGAGGGGAACTCAGTTCCTCATTGTTTGTCAGTAACATGATTCGATAGGTTAGTGATGGGCTCAGCCTCTTTTCAGCAAATCATATAAAAGTTTTAACCCCTATATATGCATGTGTGTGAGAATTATTATTCAAAACAACCATAATGCAGATGTGTAAATTCTGGTTTAAATGATATTTTTCTCCTTTTTTAAATACTTGTATAAGGTAAGGTATTCTAGGAGTTCACTCCTGAAAAGCTTATATTACGTACTCACATAAATAGTAGCTCCTCACAGCATAAGCTCCAGATCTATTTATACTTAGCAAATTCAAAAAGGCATATCTTAACACACACTGTCCCTTGGACAGCTATGAACACCACAGAGCAGCAGACCCCTGCATCTGCTTTCTTGCCTTTAGACTGAACCCTCTCTTTTCTACCCGCAGAAGGAGGCAAACTGGATCAAATCCCAATACACTCTGAAGAGGACAAAAGCAGACCTTTGTTCACTTAACTGTGCATTGGACAATCTAAAAAGCATATAAGCACTAATCTGTTCATTATTCCATCTCCTCCTCTTTGCTACAATAAAGGACTGTTTTATGCTTATATGCATCCATAAAGAGACCCATAAAGAAAATAATGAACATCCTTGAATATCTTCAGAGCATACTTTATTCATTTTAACAGGGACACAACATACTGTATCCCTTGTATTTCACTGAGATAAAAGCCTATAGATTAATTCCTATTAAAACAGTTGGTATTTTCAGGACATGCAGATGTAATTTATGGAGAGGCACAATACTCATAATAGCTCAAAGGCCACAGAAACTGTAGATCTGTGTCTGTTACTGTAGTTGTACAGGCATTCATTGTACAGAGAGCAGTTGAAAAGGCAGAGTATGTAATCTGAATACTAAATTTGTGAATAGTTTCTCACTTGGGCTGGTTAGGCTTTTCAAGAGCAGCGGATGCTTTGTAGGGGACTCTGTAAAACATTCTGCTAATCTATCACATGGTTTGCTGTATTCTCTTATCTTTACTGGTAGAGCTTCATTCATCAAAATATTTGATTCTTAAAAGGGCACCAGCTCCTGCTCTGTACGCTCCACCTGAATTCAGTGTGCTCTGTGTGAGACGCTTCACAACAAATACTTCTTCCTTATTCTGTGGCGAACTTCGTGTGTATGTAACCCAGAAGTATACAAGAAACAAAGATCCTTTCCTTTACCCCCATGTATTCCAATTGCTATATCCAAGTTACTTGGAAAATAGTATTATATTTCCTGTTTTATTATCAACAGTAAAAGCGTACAGGTTTTATCTTCTATTATGGAGATATAAATGTATATGGATATAGCATTTATGAGGAAGGGCAATTCTGAAGTGTTCTAACAAAATTTAACTATGACACAAGCTACTAACAGAGAAGCCTTGAGCCTGGGATCATTTTTATTCTTTGCTTGTACAGCACCTAGCACAATGAGGATTTATGTGTGACCTAGCTTCCTGCTTAGTACTTCAACAAAAATGAGAATTAACTCTTGCTTTGCTTATGTCTGAAAATCACAAATACCAACAGAATTACATACAACCAATACCAAACAGAGGACAACAGAGTATTATGAAGTTCATGAAGCAGCTGATGAAAAAGTGTGCTGGATCTATTTAAATTGCGAGAGCTGCTAGAGGCATTTAGGCAGATAGGCAGTTGTTTATTTTATTTAGTAAAATTAGAGGTGTCAGTTATGTTGAATATTGCAAAGTACCACTGAACATCTGAATATTTGGTGGGAGTGGAATTCTTCCATTTCCCTATGCAGGGATAACATGATGATTGAATCTTAAAATGTCAAAAGCTGCCATTTGGGTTTGAAGGGGCTTCTACCATACTGAAGTCTTCTACCAAATTGGGCTGCAAACATCGTGGGAGCAGGTCTTGTAAGGCTTTTGACACTTCCCTTCTGGGTTCAACCTGATACACTACAGCTATATTCAGAGTCCTCATCCTGGGTGAAATATAGAATAGATAAGGCCACCCTATACATTTATTTCTGAGCTTGCAAAGAGTTCTCACTACTGCTTTCTGAAGCTTGGCAATTAACTGAGGAATAAGGACATTTTCTATTTGAATCCAACCTACCTGTAAGTGCACAGCATGAGCCTGTGGCTCCCTGGAGGCTAGGGGCCACAGAGGTGACCCAGGCTAGCATGGCAGGAACCTCGCCACCTAGGTGAGGTTCCCACAACCCCCAGGAAGGGAGTAGGGCAGGCCACAGATGAGAGCCAGGTCTCACCAAGAACCCTGACACTCATGCAAGTCTGCAGCAATGAGGCAGGTTGGATGCCAAGCCAATAAGTCAATCTACAGGTCAGAATCAGCAAGGTCCATGGCTAGAAAGAGGCACAATTTCTGCTAAGCAGAAGACCAGCATGTCCCAAAGCTAGAGCCATCATAGGGCTGATCTTAAATGGGCTACTTGGCCAATGGTGGGAGTGTGTGTGCAGGCCCTAGCTGAGGCTGATCAGGGTCGTTAAGGTCTTTTGGTGCTTTCAGGGTCCTTGCACTGCTAAACCATCTTCAACTCTGAATAACTATGGATAGGAGTTTTCAAACAAGGAAACAGACAGCTGACCTTAACATGAAATTAGATTGTCTAACTGACTCCCTTGCTCAGCAGGAACTGTTAGGCATCCCACTTCTCCTTTGCAGAAGAGTGATGCTTTGCACAAGGGGAGTAACTGGCTTGTTTTAAACTCACATCTTGCCTTACCTTTCAGGAGCGTACATATCTCCCTGGAAGTTAAAAAGGCTGTTTTCCCTGATTCTATCTGACTGGTTGTATGATTTCTCTCAGGTTACCAGGGCCTTTTTTCAAAACACCTGAAGGATGTTCTGTTTCTTCATTACACTCCTCACTTACCGTGTGTCCAAAACCACCATCACCCCTGTTCAGCGTGCATAGCTACAAACTGTGAACATGGACTTACTGATGTGTACTTTACCCTCTTTAGCCCTTGTTCCTCTTCCTTCACTGCTTTTCCAGCATCATGCTAGTGCTTAGAGGGAGCTAGGAAAAACCTGTGGTGCTGGGTTGAAAACTAGTTGAAGTGGTTGTCAGAGACTAAATAGGTGATGAATCTTTCAGGCTGACAGCTCCTGCAGGCATGTGGCTCTGCAAAAAAACCTGATCCAGAAGACAGGCCCAGCTGTCCCAGGCCAGGGGAGTAGGGCAGGGATTAGTTAGTCCCCTCTGTGCTACCCAGCATAATGCATGGACTCAGAGTGAGCAGTTCACTGGACAGTACCACACCTACAGTGAGAAACTGCCATTCAAACCAGTCTTTTGATCATTGCAGAAATGGTATAACATCAGAGTCTCATGATTAATGAAGTCAGAACATAAAAGCGCCTGAGAAAACAAAAACGCCTGGCCCTCTCTGTCCAGAAGTGGCACAGCTGAACCAAAGGCTGACAATGTCATCTCAGAGGTGAGGGACAGCCTAGGGACTAAGCCTAAATCTGTATTGTGGATGACTCACTTTCAATGCCTTGCTTTGGAAAAGGATACTCATTTCCCCCGCCATTTACACGGGGTACTCTGCTACAGGCATCTAGTTCAGCTTCCTATTCCTTGGCTGTTTCTGGAGTCCATGGAAAAGACTGATGCTTCCCAATTGCAATTCCAAGCACCAAAATTAAATTTCCGCTGGTAGTCACTCTCCAGAAGAGCATTCCTTTCTACAGTGACTACACAGGGAGGCTGGAGAAATCAGTTGGCTAAAAGAGTTACTTACAGGGGATGAATATCCCTGTTCATACTTCTGTTCTTCACATAGACAATAAAGCTGATAGTATTTCTTCTCTGACAAATGTTTTAAAAGAGAGGAACACTTCAACAGGAGGTGCAGGGACTTGGATACAGCTGTGATGGAGGCCCTGTGACTGTGCAGGAGAGAGAAATTTAAAGAATAGGGGGGCTCTATGCCTCTTTTGTGCCCATAAGCGAAGTGTCACCATACAAGTGTCCTGGAGTTTGATTATATAAATACAGTCACCTTAAATTAACTGGCTACATAATCAGTTTTGAAGTGGAGCCAGGTTAACTTTGATTAACCACAAGCAACAAT